GCTCGTACCTGGGAAAACGAGATGGCCGTCGCAACCCGTGCGCTCCGGGGCACAAATGGGGGCAGTCGGTTGAAATCGCAGGGCCGCATTAGCCGTCTCCGCTCCTCTCGACCCCAGTGCAGATCCCCGGGCGCCACCCGGGAGGACGCGAGTGGGACGAGCGAGATGAGGCGGGCGGCGACCCGCTGGGCTCGGCGAACCCAGCCGGCCAACGGACTCCGTCCGGACCTCCAGCAGGTGGGGGGGCCGGTCACTCGGTCCTCTTTCTTCCGAGACGGTCGCGAAAGGTTCGGGAGCCGGGGGCGTGGCAACCCCGGTCTCCCCTCCAAAGTAGCGCACAGAACGGGCGAGAGGCGGACGGGGCTCGTACAAAAATGGTCGGACGGGGAGGAACCGGGCAAACCCCAACGATGGCTTCAGTCAGGCGAGACCACCCGCTGAATTTAAGCATATTACTAAGCGGAGGAAAAGAAAACACCGTGATTCCTTTGGTAGCGGCGAGCGACCAAGGAAGCCAGGCTTGAAATCCGAGGGCCCCCGGCCCTCCGAATTGTAGTCTGAAAGGAAGCGTTCTTGTGACGGGGCGCCGCCTTAAGTCCACTGGAAAGTGGCGGCAGAGAGGGTGAACCCCGTCGGGCGACGACCCGTCACTCACGGACGCATCCGAAGAGTCGGGTTGCTTGGGAGTGCAGCCCCAACATGGGTGGTAAGCTCCATCCAAGGCTAAATACGGCCAGGTTTCCGATAGCGAACAAGTAAACGGTGACTGGTGCAAGGGAGGATAGGTAGGATGTAGCGGAGCGGAGGGAAAAGATGAAAAAACTTTGGAAAGAGAGTAAAAGTGCTTGAAATCGTCAGGAGGATAAGCGATGAGCCCAAGCAAACCTGCGGGCCCCGTTCGCGGCGGCCCGGAGGTACGCAGCGCCGGTCGATGCCGCGGGAAAGGGAGCTCGCTCCCACCGCGGCGGAGACCGAGGATGACCCTCACGGGTCGGCGCTGGCGAAACGGGCTGATGCGACCCGTCTTGAAACACGGACCAAGGAGGCCAACGCGGCTGCGAGCCAATGGGTTGGAAACCACAATGGCGACAGTGAAAGCGACCCGTGAGAAGGCGGCTCGTGCTGCCCGCACCACGGACCGCCCGGGGGCCTCGGCGCCGGGGCCGGGGTGCGTTGGAGTAGTCGCGTTGGGACCGAAAGATGGTGAACTATGCCTGAGCAGGGCGAAGCCAGAGGAAACTCTGGTGGAGGCCCGCAGCGGCTACTGACGTGGCAAATCGTTCGTCAGACTTGGGTATAGGGGCGAAAGACTAATCGAACCATCTGGTAGCTGGTTCCCTCCGAAGTTTCCCTCAGGATAGCTGGTGCTCGATACGTGGTTACGTCTGGTAAAGCGAATGATTGGCGGGCTCGGGGGAGAAGCTCCCTCGACCGACTCCTCAAACTTTAAACGGGCGAGGAGGGCCGCCATCTTAATTGTGGCTGGCTTTCAGGGGTGCTGGCTGACCCACCAACATGAGTGCCAAGTGGGCCATTTTTGGTAAGCAGAACTGGCGAGGCGGGATGAACCGAAAGCCGGGTTTGGGCGGTGCCTAACTACGCGCTAACCTAGATCCCACAAAGGGTGTTGATTGATTAAGACAGCAGGACGGTGGTCATGGAAGTCGAAATCGCTAAGGAGTGTGTAACAACTCACCTGCCGAATCAATTAGCCCGAAAATGGATGGCGTCAAGCGCGTGACTATAACCCGGCCGCACCCGGCTGCTGGTGAGCCGGTGCGAGTAGGAGGGCGCGGTGGGATGCATCGAAGCGTGCGCGGTGAGCGCGCGTGGAGCTCCCGATCGCTGCAGATCTTGGTGGTAGTAGCAAATTTCAAATGAGAACTTTGAAGACTGAGGTGGAGAAAGGTTCCATGTGAACAGCAGTTGCACATGGGTTAGTCGATCCTAAGAGATGGGGTAACTCCTTGAGAACGGCGCGGTTTCCCCGCGCCGCCCATCGAAAGGGAATCGGGTC